GAAGGTTTGTGACTTTTAAAATATGGGTCCCCAGAAAAAAAGTTAGGTATGGACGGAATATGTTCTAAAAATAAAACTAGTCAAAAATTGTACTGTTACTGTGCTTTTTGAATCAGTTCCACTTGCAATGTGATTCAAAATTGGTCCAATGACGATGGTAAGAAGAGTGTCTACTATTGTAGGTTCCAGAATTAATTATATATATATATTATTATATATAACAATGTTCAGGAAGTCTGTATCAAACAAGTACCTCTTCGTATTACTTCGTATTATAAGCACCTTTGAAGTGGTTACCAGTTTCAGAAAGGTTGGAGACTCCTGGTCTGTCCAGTTTTATTTTGTGACTATACAGCTAAAAATCCATTTAAAAAAAAATCTATTTTCCACTATGAGACAGATCGAGATGTTGACATATCAAACAAATAATCGTCCCGAAACTACATGAAAACAGAAGGTTCTCTAAATTTCCCAGTTGGGCACGTTCCCTCCAAAAAACAGATAAAGCTTTTCAGGCCTTTTACTGTTTGTACAGTCTGGATCTTTGACGCTGATCTCATCCCCTGCTCATGTGGCCCTTCCTCAAGTTCCGTGCTATAAATCATATATTTGTCTGCGTAATAAAAAAAATGCGTAATTGTGGTGATGTTCGCGTCGGTGTGCGTCCCTCAGGTGTGCACATGTTGAGCCCAAGGTAAGTCGGGGCTTGTTAGTCGTCTGGTTTGAGCCAGTGCGCAGAGCAGAGGCAGGTGGTGAGAGAGGCTCTGAGCGTAGGAGCTCATCATCCCCGCACAGTCATTACGCTCTGAGCCATCCCGAGAGGTTATGATGTCACTGGAGCGTGCAAGCAGAGATGATGGGGAGGAGCTGCTCTAGGTGGGGTTTGTTGGTGTGACCGTGATTGAGTACTGGTTGTGTCTGGTATCTATCTATCTATCTATCGTTCTTTCTATCTATCTATCTATCTATCTATCTATCTATCTATCTATCGTTCTTTCTTTCTATCTATCTATCTATCTATCTATCTATCTATCTGTCTGTCTATCTATCTATCTATCTATCTATCTATCTATCTATCTATCTATCTATCTATCTAGCTAGCTAACTAGCTATCTGAAAGTTTCAAGTACTTTCGCGGCGGAGTTTATAAAAACACAGCATTGTTACTGGATCTACTTTCACCACTGTATAATGGGGCTTTAGTGGCCCACATCTGCCCCTCTTCCAGCTTCATGAGGCCAAGCTTTGTTTGGTTCACGGCTATGCTAAGCTAACTGAGACTATCCTTCCGATTGTCAGAGTAAAAGTTGGCTTAAACAGGCTTTACATTGTTCGGACACTGTTGTGAAGATACTGCAGTTAAGTAGCGGGACTCTGTAAGGACATGGTACTTTTCTTCGCAGTTGCTGCTGTGTTGTGACATAATAGCCCCCCCCCGGAGTGAAAAGCACAATGGATACCTGGTGAACATCATTGTCCTCATTGTTTTGGATACAGAAAACTGCAGTTTCTTTGTTTCAGTCGCCAACTGAAACAAATCGCCGCAATGTGAAAACTGCATCCTGGCAGCGGAGAAAACGATAGTTTAATGGCATTTCGTCGAGTGTTTGCTACGAACAAGACAAATATTTTCTTTACTAGCCTCCAGAAGAGGTTTGTTTAGCTTAGCCTGGAGTGTTAGCATGGACTCTCTTCACGTGTCTTTAAGCTGAAAAAAGGGAGGAAATGTAAGGAACTGCTTAAGAGTGATGACTCAGAGACACCATGAACAGTTTCCCACTTTCAAAAGTCTGCGTCAAAATGCTAGCTCCCACCTGACGGGCTTTTGTTTTCAGTCTGTGGTGGGTTTTTTTTTACGGCGGGAGCTGCTCCTGATTGGTCATACTGTCTACTGATGACAGTAAAATCAACTCACTGTTGTTCTGTCTGGTTTCCTACCAAACAGATTTTCACACATCTGACTCACTCCACGACTGCTGATGGTTTTACTGCGAAGTTGGGGGCAGGGCACTTTGTATGGGTTTTTTGCAAAACACTCTCACTCTACTCTTCCCTACTTCCCCTGCAGCCACTGCCGTGTGGAAATCGCTTACTAACAGCGAAAAAGAAGAACCACTTGTGGAGAGAGAAAAAAAACAAAACAAAAAAAAAACAAAAAAAAAAAACACGGGCACTAACTTTGCAACACTGTGCGTCCGTTGGAGAGGAAATATGTGGGAAAAAAAAAAAACAACACCATCTCATCCTATTGGCAATTCGATCACTCCTGCCCCTGAGTGCTGGTATGTTAAGTGAGCGGTTGTGATATGGTAAAAGGGCTTTATGGACTTGCTGCTCACTGTCAGGACACTGTGTTCCTCACTTTTTAAGGGGAAGGTCAAGAGCCCTGACCTCACTTCCTGTTGAGGCTCCTCAAAAGCATTCCATTGTCTGTGAGAATGTGCACCGACTCGAGGGACTCGAGCAACATCTGGCAGCTGTTATTGGCAACCTCCTGTGCAAACCTTCACCATGACTACTGGCACTGCAGCTGATGCAGCGGCCACACCAGTCACGTGACGCGCTGCCGAATGTTCCCCCCGGATTCGCGCCCCTTGCCGGGTCGAGGTTTGCTTCACGAGCCACTAATGTGTTAGCTAGATCACCAAAAAAATTGTCGATATTAAAAAAAAAAAAAGTCTCTATTTGAGGCCGTGCTTCGGACTCATGAACTCCCTACGGCCGGGCGCGGGCAAACGTTTTGACTCGCAGAACACAATTGGTCCTAAAATTTGACGAATGAAGGCTAAAATGCTAAAATCCTTTTAGCCTTTTCTACGCCATCTATTGGGGAAACGTTGGTATTGTAGGAAAAAGGCAGAAGTATAACGATAATATAAACAAATTATATCATTTTAAAAAAAGTCTGGATTAAAAAACTGAACGGGCCGTAGACGGACCCCGGGCCTTAGTTTGCCCATGCGTGTTCTACGGTGAGCCCCGCCCACAGCTGTTCACAGCTGGGATTGGCTCAAGCATGCCCC